GCAGCTTTAATAATAACAAACTGCACTGCATACTGTGCACGGTTAACTTAAACTGCATTTTACTTTCTTGTGACTGAAGGTACAATGAGAAGTTACTAAATCAAACAATAGCTCCCACCAATCATTTTTTTTCTATCTCCGTCAGGCATGAGGTACAACTTCCACACTTTTTCCCCCAACAATGCTTCGTTTGTCGTTTCCTTGATCACTGTACAAATCCCACAAATATGCAGAACTACCTGAGTCTTCTGTGGTACCTGATGCAGAAGTGCCACAATTCAGCAATCGGAATTTTTGCTACAAATACATCAACATAAACGTGTTAAACAGTATCTAACTAACAATTAGAAGTAGGCTTTGTTGATGTAGAGGCTTAGTCCCACTCTAATCACACTTAACTTGCATATAGAGTCATTTTGATGCATGGCAGCGGTAACTAATTGTGTTTCAAGAGGCCCATTTTGGTTTCAGCTGCATTGTCTATTAAATTCTTAGAATTTGGTGTGTGTGTGTGTACACATGTTTGGCTTTTGTTTTCGTGTGTGGCCCAGTAGCTAGCTAGCTAGCTAGCTGGCTGGCTGGCTATCTCTCTCTCGCTCTCTCATATCTTTGTCCCTCTGTCTCCCGCTCTCTCACTCTTGCTTCGTGTCTGTGGCTTTTCCATTGTCTGATGACATGACTGTGTCTCTCGTCCCGCAGTTTGGCTCGTCCTTCGCTACCTTCCGCCCCGCTCTTTTTCACTCTGGCTCCACCCGGCCTCTCTCTGTCATTCTTCCTGTTCCTGCGTCCCCACCCTATATCCGCCCCCCTGGATCCAGCTCCTCCTCTCCCACATCAAAGGTTCCTATGTGGAAGGTTTGTTCTCCATTCGCTTCCATTTCTTCAGTTGCACATTTTCTTCTGTTTCTGTTTAACAAGTTAATGCATAGAATTTATTTTCTTTTACTTTTTATCACCTGATTAACTCATTCATAACCACATTGCACTGCTTCATTGCAAGTGTTCATCCCCACTTGCTTTGTGTGCATTTGTTTTGGCTTCATCTGCCTCATTGGTTTTACAGTCTGCCAACTGGTAACTGACCAAAACCAAGCAGGGTCAAAGGTCATCAACATATACATGCTCTAACACTCAAAAAAGGCCTCTGTTCCACACATTCTGACCTGCACACAGTCCTTGATGTACCCATAAAGGCCCCCTGTTTCTGCACTCAGATGAAGGGCATCAAACTGCTGGATAGTGGACAAGTCGTGTGTGCTAATGTTACCACCTACTTCCTGTTTATTAATTCCGCTCACCTCTTCAGGACTGGTCCAAAGCAGGTCAGTATGAGCAGCCTGTGGCTGCAGCGGCAGTCCAGAGAAGAAGGGAACCTCTTGATAGGCTGAGGGAGAGTGAGGCATCACCGGGCTCCCAGGGATATGCTGGGCCATCACATCCTGATGATGGGCAGAGAGCCAGGATGACGCCAGCTACCATCGCTGCCAAGGTAA